GCAAAGCGTCATAAAACACTGTTAAGTATTAAGGCACAACTGATGTTGCTCGTGAAGAGGCTGAGTTTAGTTTTGTGAAGATTTACAAATTTGCAGTGTTTGAAAAGATATATCGTAAACAAATTCGACATTGAACATAAGTTGAAAGTGTTACATAATTTCCAGCCTCCCTTTTAGCATTTGCATTTGGTAGAGGGTTAAATTGACAAAGACAATGCAGTATTTTAATTCCACAGTAGAGAAAGCCATACAGCTTCAGTAAGTAGGTATAGAAAAAAATATCAATATTGGTATTGCTTATCAGCCAAATGAGTTTTAGTATATCGGCATATCGGATATCGACCAAAAATCCAATATCGTGCATCCCTACTTCAAGGAAAGACGTTTTTGAGGAGTAGTGTAGCCTAGGCTGACTCAAATTCTCTGTCACTACACAAACAAAAGGAGAAACAGAGAAAAGCTTTTGACCACTCTGCAGCTGCAATATCTCAGCAGATTTTATATCACCTCAGATCCTCCTCTCCTCTATTTCGTCTCCTTGCATATCTTCCCCTTATCCTCCACATAACCTTCAGTGCAACATTATTGTTCTATTCTCTTTAATAAATCTTCATCACGTGACCCTCCATTCGTTCATCCCCAAAGTCTCTTTCCTTGAAGTCTCTTTCCATCCCCCTACTTTCCTTCCACCTCACCAATAATGAATCCATAAATTGGAGCAACACAGCAGTGGTTACAGGTCGAGGTTGGGGGTGGGGGAAAGGGTGGATGTAACGGAAGGGGGAGGAAGAGAAGAGCCAGGCTCGACAGAGAAGAGGCGACAGGTATCTGAGAGGAAATGGAGCTAAGGAGAGGCAGGGAATGGATTCATTCCTGCAGATAGGAGAACTGATATGACATCAACTGCCGAAGAGACAGACTGCAACGGGAAAAACAGTCGAGAAGGTGCTGAGATGGAGGAGAAAGACAGGGACAGGGCAAGGAGGCTCTGTAAAATTGGTCTGGGAATTAATTTGCACCAGGTAAGGTATAGCCTTGGAACATGCCAGCCTAGTCAGATCAGAGGTCCTGTGGAAGGGAGACTGATCACAATGGCAGCAGATGGTGGAAGGAGAAATAGTCTGCTGATGGCTTATGGGGGAGGTGATGGAAGGAAAGGCAAGATGTTTGCTACAGAATAACATATACAATCCCATGAGAAGTATTGTCCACATTCCAGATATCTTCTCTTTTTTTTTCTTTTGCATTCCACTTATATGTTTCAGATCATAAAACAATATCAGACTTGGCTGAACCGATTAAATACAAAATGCAGGTTTCAAATTATAATTTAGGTTTTTTTTTCTAAGAGATGAAAGCCTTCCAAACCAACAATTTAAGAGTTTTCAACTTCAGGCAGTCATTAGGCCTGGATGTGGCTAGTAATATTAATCAACTTAACTCCTGACCAAGCCAGAGGTTGACTCGGATAGATTTCTTTCCCTAAAAAAACAAAATCATCATTTGAAAAATGCATTTTTTTGTCAAAATCAGTTCGATGATCTGAAACATGCATGTGATAAAAAAAAAGGGAAAAAAAGAAGAAATCTGTTAGGGGGTACATACTTTTTCACAGAATCTTAGCAGCGAGAGATGAGGCCTGGCTAGACGCACACAAAGCTCAAATGTACTGTGAAACACGAGCAACAACACTGCTACTGCAGTGGCCCCGCTGGAATGCCAAACAATGGTGCTGCTGGGTGTCGAATATAATCATTTGTCTGTGAATCATCACTTTGCAGCATTACTAATTACTCCGGTGGTGTTGGACTAATACATATTGGCAGCACTGTAGTATTCATTAGCAGATAAGATTTCTGTCTCAGCTGCAAATGAAAAATTTAAGGGGTAATTTTAATTTCTTTTACATCATAAACAAGCTTGCAAATGACTTTGGATATGAGATAATATATTTTAGCTGAAGCATAAACTCCAGATTGATGGTGCTGCTGAATGTTGATTCCTCATTTCTGCTGCATAAATTTATCTAAGTCATTAAAATGTAGATGAAATGACTTATTTGCTTGGTTTCAGACTCTATAATCATTTCTCATATGTGTACACTGTTTTCCACTTTTAAGTTTTCACAGTACAGTTGACACCTGAAGCCAGCGATGCTTAGAAACTACAGGAAGGAAGAGGAGGCTGGATGGGTGGAGCGGGAAATGAGTACTGTTGGCTGTGGTGCTCAATTTGCCATGCTGAAAGAGTGTTAAGCTGTATGGAGGCAAAACTGTGCTTAATACCATCAAAGCAATCAACACAGTGGAAAAAAAAAGCGAATATATAAATAGCAAAAAAGAGGTAGTCTCAAACCAAGCCATGCAAAAACATCAAGAACTGCTCACATAAAGAAAAAATAAAAGGCAAATCTCATCAAAGCTGACTTTTAGAGAAAAAGGAAAAAGAAAAGTCTGCAGAGCTGAAACTGAACCAATAAACGGTGAAACAAGCTGCAAAGGTGTCCCATAAAAATAAAAGATAATAATAATAATAATAATAATAATAATAGCAATGATCATACAGAAAAAACAGCAGAAAGCATTGTTTTGACATATGAAGCCAAGTTGCCATTACCTGAGCGTAAAACTCCCAACATTCCCCCTCGAAATGAATCTAAACCCTTGCAGGTAATTTGGGTGTAAGATAGATTTTAGCTTTTGTTGAGCCAAGTAATTCTGCATCTGCTCAGGTAAAGGCAACTGGAGGCACGGCAGCATGTTGTGATGCTGGCTGTAGGCATGCTGTCTGAAGTCTCTGCCACCATTGTGCTTGGATCTACCTACTGGTGCCTTTGCTGCTTCCAGCTGCCTCTGCTGTGTTTCCTCCATAGACAGGAAACGCAGAAATTCCTACCGCAGAACCAAAATAACGCTTTATAACTAGGAGATGGCGTGATTTCTCTCTAGTCCTAGATTATGGCTCTCATGCGGAGAACCCTCACATCTGATTGGCATCGCCAAATACTTTTGAACTCGTTTGAGGGTATTTTTTTCCGTACAGGAACAATCGGCCTATCAGTCTTGCTTGTCAACAGTTGAATTCTTCAAAGACTTTTACAAGCCTGTGAATGAAATGACTTCCTGTGTTCTCGCTCAGGTTGTATTCACTCCCCAGAAGGCTGAAGACGCCACAAATCTCTGTGTGAAACGAAAGCTTTCTGTCTGAGCTCAACAGCTGCTTTCTTATTGCTATGGCTGTTTTTACACCTACAGCATTTTCGCGATTGAAGGATCCGCCTCTAATAAATAACATTATCTGTTAATAGAAGTTTAAAGTTTTCATAACCCTTCAAGTTTTTCAGATTTCGTCAGGATTTGTATAATGTATCAATGCTAATCAGTACATTTTGGTGAAGTTGAAGAAACGTGACATAGTTTTCAGAATAAAAAAAAATAAAACTCTGACCAAATTCTCTGACCAAATCTCCACAGCATGATTCTTCCACTATCATGTTTCACCACAGCTAATTTCCTACCAGACACAGCATTTTCCCTACCAGCCAGATAAATTCAGTTTGGTCTCATCCTTTAGCCACATGTTTGGTTTAACCCCTTCACCACTTCTTATGTCTTTCCTTCAGCCGTTTCATTTTGCCGTGAGAGAATTATGAATAACTAAAAGTTGTTCTTTAGAGAGTCCTCAACCTGAGCTGTGGATGTGTGTAGCTCCTCCCGAGTCACTACAGACCAATTAGCTTTGATTGATGCTTTTCTTGTCCAGCCTGTCAGTTTGTCGTCATGTATTGATAAGGTACTGAATTATTTTAGTAAATATTCAAGGCCGGGGATGTGTTGTTTTATAACCAAACCCTGTTGGAGCTGATCTGCAACATCATACATTGATTGCTGTTTGTTCACAGGACAGCTGGACTCATACTGACATTCAATTATGCACAGCTGGGCTCTTATTTTCTAATTAAATGATTTTTTGAGATGTTAGGTTGCAGTTTTATTCATGTCTATCAAAGAAAAGGGCTAAAAATAATTCCATAGTGTAGTTCTCGTATATATTTCTCCAGGTATAAAATGAAAAACTGCATTTTCCTCCATTTAACTGTCATGTCCTTTGACTTATGTTGGTCAATCACATAAAATCCATATAAAATGTCTGGAAATGTTCAGTAGGTTTGAATAAGTTGGCAAGGGACTCTATTATTTTATTATCAATTAACTTTTATAGCCTATATTTTTAACAATGTTGAAGCTGGTTCTAATTGCAGAACCATGAACAAGTGACGTGTTGCTTTAATAGGGTGTGTTATACATCGGTCTGTCCCATCATAATGAACTGGCGGCCCTCCAGAGACCTTTAAATTCCCTCCTTCGATTGGTCCCTAGTCTCCTCCTCCTCTATCCTTTTCTCTGTGACTCATTTATCCAACGAGCTGCCCTTGAGGCGGCACAGCATTAGGCAGGTTGTTAACACAGGAGAAAAAAGGGCGTTCAATGTCATGTCACCGTGTCGCGAAGGATGGCACAGCCGGCAACCAGGCCATCTTCTCCAGGAAATAAATACATCGCCATCTTCCTTTTCAGAGTGTAATGGTCTGGATATTACATCTCCTATGGGACATTACAGTCCACAGATAATAAATCCACACTACTCTGCGTGTGTGTGTGTGTGTGTGTGTGTGTGTGTGTGTGTATTTGAGTGTGCATCCTAATGAGCGCTGAGTGTGTAGGTGCACATGGGTGAACGTGTGTCATCTCGCTTGTTTGCTACTTTTCTGCAGCTGGTTTTTCGTGCACAGCATGAGGCAATTTGTCCCCTAGAGAGAAAACCATCCACCATCTATACACCGCGTCAGCTGGAAGCAGCAAGGCAGCCGTAAATCTCAATTACATAAACCTCCCCTACCCCCTTCCACTTTACATCCCCACCCTTCCCCCCTCATTAGCCTGTTGCCACAGGCAACAATGGACCAAACTGACCGATTTCTGTTACGTTCCAAGGCTTACCAGTGGCTTCAGGTTGAGTCTGAGAGGGCACTGCCACATAAGGGTCCTCCCCTTTGTCTGAACTCATAGGGGGGTCCTTCCGCCCCAGGGGCCCCTCGGCTGCCTCGGGGAGGGCCGAGGTGGGAAGTGAAAGGGTGTGGTGATGGTGGTGGTGGCCTGTCGGACACAGCACAGGTTAACTTCTGCTCAGAGCAAACAGGACCAAGCTCCAGTGGACACAGGCACAGACAGACCAGCTAGACTGCTCACACACACGCACACACACATATATACACACACATTCAGTCCTCAGATGAATAAACACACACTCAGACAGCTGCTGGGCTGTGTGAGGGTTAACAAGGTGTTTCCCTTGTGACCCTCTGCAGCTCATTACCAATTACATGTGTGTTTCTAAGGATTGACACGTTTCCTCTTCCTGTCATTTCCCTGCGTGTCTATCGTCTCCCCCCGTCCTGCTCTGATTGACATGTCAGATCTCTGCTGGGTCTGTCAGATGATAATTTCTCCACTGTAGCCACAGGGTGCCCCGCTGTCATATGTAGGACAAAAGACAAACTTTCTCCTCACTGGTCCTGTTGAGGATTCTGCCTGTAACTGCTCTTTAACTACAAAGGAGCCTTTAACTCAGAACATTTTCTCCCTGCTGTTTTTTTGTATACTTTTGTTCATTTCAAGGTTTTGATCAGTTTTGTAGCTGTGAAGTTAAATGTGCATAGCTACAAAACTGATCTGGAACTTGGAGTAAACTTCTTGAACTTGCAGAGTAACAGATTCAGAGCTTTGTAAAAGCAATCACACCTCTTAAAGTGATACGTTTCCTATGTGTCTGGAGTTTATGTGATAAATCCACACAAAGTATGTTAAAATTGGGAATAATACATTGTCTTCAACTAAAAATAAAAACATATAAAGGGCGGTCCACATTCATATTCAGCTCCCTGAAATTCAAGTGCAATCAATTCATATCTGTCAAGTTTTAGATTTAAAACTATGGGAAATTCTTGAGCCAGTGCTACCGTAGGAGCAGAGGACGGTGTGTAATTATGTTTTAATACAGAAAGTTTACAGGAAAATACTAATATGAGAGCATGGAGGGGAAGAGGGGTAGTTTCCTGGCCAAAACAGGAGACCTAGGTATGTCAACTGTCAAAACTGAACCATATTGGTCCCTGAACAATCAGTCACCTTTTGATGAAACATGGCATCATGACGTGGGGATGCTTTTCTTCCGTAGAGAAGTGATATATTCAGAGTTGACGGGAAAATAGATGGAGTTAAATGCAGATCAATACTGGAAGAAAACTTGGAATGTCTTGATGTCTCCCTAGTTCAACCAATTCAAATTTCTAAATGATCGATAAACTATTTGTTTGCTCAAGGTGTGTTGGACATGACGGACGCTGGCCCTTGAAGACCGAAATTGGGCAACTCTGGTTCAGAAGGAAGCATGTTGGTGTGTCAGAATGGCCTAATCAAAGTGTCAGAAGTCAACTGATAAAACTGCTTAAAAACTGCTGTTCACTGGTTCATCCAAACTGCCTGAACTTTACTAATAAGAATGGGTGAACATGTTCATCTGTAAATACAAACATATTTGTAATGAATGGTGGTTTCATAAAGCACTGAATCGGAGGAGGTGAATACAAATGCACTCCACATTTCAGATTTTACATTGTCAAAAAGTTTGAAAAAACATCAGTCATTTTCCTTCCACTCTACTCTACGTGTTTGTCCATCTCAACAAACCTCAGTGAAATAGAAATGTGAGCTGTGGATGTGAACCCACTGTGAGCTCTTCTGTGGGTGATGGATCATGCGTATCTCTCTCCTGTTTACATGCAGACATTGCTTACACCGTCAGTTTTCCTCCACCCCCCTTTCTTATGCTTCTCATTGTTCTTCATGAGCAGAATTTATGCATAAGCTTTGTTTGACTGTATTTTCGAACCGTGACAATCACATTACCATCCCACATGCTAACAGTTAAGCCTCCCTAAACAGTTTTGCTCCTATAAATGGGATATACCATGATGTACTTAAGCCATACGGCAAGGAGAAAAAAAAAAAAAAAACCCCCGGTTAAGAGGGACGGAGCTTTTTTCTTCCTCGGCTCTGCAGATCTCTTCCCCCAGTTACCGCTTTTGACAAGCCCTCTCCGTGGAGGAGGTGACAGCATGGGAGTGTGTGTTTGTTTGAGGATGTGCACGTTCAATATGTGTTTACGCTTGTGTTTGAAGACGGGGAGGCGACGCCAGGAGACTGCTCACAACAGACCCCCCTCGCAGAATGCCACTCAAGGCCTCCTCCTCTTCTGTGTGGCGTGGCAATCATTAAAATGATTTATTTAACTATTGGCCCAAGGCTGAGAGATTAGTGTGACAGGCCTATTTTATAATTCATACCCCACCAACAGGGGAAGTGCAATTCAGGCAGATGACACACATACAGGGAGCCCAGAGACTCTGCACTCCTTCCGAGATCAGGAGAGGGGGAAAAAAAACTGCCAACGGATGCACATCCCTCTCTTTCTACAGATTAAAGAGAGGCGAGGGTGTCTCGTCTGGAGTAAAAAAGATGAGATTTTAGAGGCTGCAATAATTTATCTTAAAATCCATATCAACCGCCAACAGATAGATAGAGGGTTTCGGGAAATGGCTGGGACCGAGTCTGGACGCAGTAAACCGGGTGTGAGTTTTTTGTCTGCGCCTCAAAACGCACATCTCTAAGCATATTGCACACGAGGAGGGGGAGCACACCAACACAGATGCTTTTTGGATGACCCTGGATCTCCAAAAAGAAGGGAGAATCACAGTGGGAGTACAGCCACAGGGGGGTGAGTGAGAGGGCTTGCTGGAGAGACTTCAAAATATCTATTCTCGTCATTCTGCATGGATCTGACCGTTTTGATCTGGCAGCTGTGAGGCACTCTGTGTGTATGCGTGTGTTTGAGAGAGAGCGCGAGATGGAGCTGAGAGGGATTCACTAAAAAGAGCTAATTTGTCCTGTGATTAGATAAAGAATATCTTTGTAAGTTTACATGTAGATGAGAGTGGCTTTGCTTCAAGTATCAGCTACTCAGGGATGATTCTGATACCAGGGTCCCGCACATTTTTTAAAGCCCAAATTGCAGACGACGTTCTCATCCTGTAGAGACGAAAGTGAAAATACCAAAGTTCACTACTAATACTTCCTGCAAAGGTGATAGATGTATTTATGGATAACCAGATGTATAAATGTTTGATGGAAGGATGAATAAATGAATGGATGAATGTCTTATGACAACGCTGAAGGAACCCTGGTAGACCGTGGTGGATAAGAAAAGCATACGTATGAATAAAGCTGTGTGATGCTGTTTGGTGAGCATAAACACACTCTCAACTGGGCAGGTTAACATCTCGCGGTCTCTATCGACACCCATCTAATGCACACAGCGAAGAACTTCCTCACTATCAAAGCCTTTAACCACCAACAACCAGATCCATCCAATTAACAAAGCAAAGGTCATAGCTAATCAATGCTGCAGCACAAGCGAAGGAGGAAGATGGAGCTACTAAACAAAGGGTGAGGGAGAAAAATGTCTAACAAACTAAAGGAATCAGTATCAAAGATGAAAGATTTTCATCTCTTCCACCTTTAAACACCAAAAAGGAACTACGTAAGAGCGTGACTGACTTTCCATTACCTTCATAACCGGAAGGGATGTCTATCAAAAAGAAAGGAATGAAATCAATTTGGTTAAAACCTGGAATCATTAATAATCTGTCTTTACACATGTGGGAGGAGTTTTTCATTTGCTTGAGAGGGCAAGACTGACTGAGCTGATGAAGAGGTGTGGCTGAAGTTAAAGATTTAGTGGGGGAAAGGATGGAGCTTCAAACTCCATCCTTTATGAGTTTGATTGCCGTGAGGTGGATGAGGAACACTTACCATTCAGTGCCACAAATGTATCTGCAGAGAAAAAGAAGAAAAACGAAAGGAAACCTGTTATTGTGGGCAATGAAAGGGAGCTTATATGCTTTAACACGATGGAAAACCATGACTTTTAAAGTAATTCAGAGTTGGCTGGCAGCTCAATATTCTCTTTCCGTCCAATCAAAGGGAATTTTTCAGGGTTTTACGGCTGATGGAGGTATAATTCTCTGGGTTAGCTCATAAACACACAAATGAAAGCAAAGGAGAAAATTACAGCCTTTATAGAGTTATTTACTGATTTGATTCAATATCAAACACAGAATAAAGTTTCAGTACTTGTTTGCAAGTGCTAACAGAGTGCATTTGGTCCTGAAAAGAACAAATATACTGTCTCAAAGTGTGAAGAATAAAAGCCCACCTTTTAAGAATAGAGGCTGCCTTTGAATAGTCTTGTTTTTGCTTTCAATATAACAGTTCCTGCGACTTTTCACATCTACAAACTCAGCGTGCTGCTGAATTGTTTGTGTTTTTGAGGAAATGCTCGAAAAGAAACTCAGGGTTTGCCCAATGGGACACAGGGCTCTATTGACCAGGGACCGGAGAAACAGCGGGGAAAGGACACAAGAGGCTGAAAGGGACAGATGGATGGAAGACGCTTGAAAGAGGGAATTGTAAGGCCAGAACAGACAGGAGAAGAAAAAGGTGACGGCAGCAAAGAAGGAAACGACGGGCTGAGAGGTTAGCAGAGTTAACAGAGAAAACAGGAGACGACGTGGTAGTGAGGGAGGTGTGGAAAAGAGAAGGAAAGATAAGAGTGAAGAGGGCTTGCTTACTTTGGCAGTCTCCCAGGCCATCTGTGTTACCATGCTCCACGTCCTGCTCGAAGGCTGATCTGCAGGGAACAGAGATATCATGGTCAGTGGCGGAAAACGGGGCAGGCCACACCCAGCAACGCCATGAGAAAGCTAACACAGAAACACCACCACAGACAGCATACGCTGGAAACACAGCGTGGGATGCAGAAAGTCCCATGCTGTGCTGGAAGCAAAGAACACCTGGCAGGCACCCTGGAGACCTGAATCAGTGGTAATGCAGACGTCAGACAGTGAAGTAAATATCTAGAACAAGAGATGTTGCTTGGAGTGTTGAAAATAGTTTTTCTCTATGATTTATGTTGTTGGGCTTGTACAATGACTAACATTTTGTAAGGTTGTGTTTTTATGGCAGAGGAGGAGATAATACACGGCGACTTATAGCACATTGAAGTTATTTAGGGGCAACGGTGGTAGGAGTTTGTCCCGTTACCAGTGGGCTCCTGGCTTGGACTCCTGCTTCAGTCAGTGGTCAGAGGCTCCGGTGGCACCTTGCTCCTGTCAGACTACCCCAGGACAGCTACAACATAGCTCACCACCATCAGCTTATAAATGGATGTGTGAAGATCTTTGGCTCCTTTGGACTTAATAAAGTGTTACAGGTCATTTATCATTCATAAGCTAGAATCTGAGAAATGCCTGATCATCAGTGTTTCAGCTGCAAGTTGGAAAACAAGTAAGGATTCGACTTCAAGACGCACTTCAACGAGGTCATTTCTTCCACCCAGAGGCTGGATTTATGCTGTTTAGTCAGAAGGCAGTTTTAACCAAACTTTGGCATGTATTATAGCTTATTGCTCACTTATGCTAAGTAAGCTATGTTCAGTTTTCACACTCTGACCACACAACAGGACATGTTGTTAAAATAAACAGCCAACATTTAATGTAGTGCTGTTTGATCTTATTTTGGCACAGTACAGGTGGAATATACCACTGTCATTAGCTTAGCTTAGCATTGGGGGCTTGCTGAAAGCTCATTAACATTCCTATGGCGCTTTTATAGAGTCAAGAAGAGTACAAACTCTTATTTATTTTAGATTACAACAATACATTACTTATAAATGAAAGAGCCAATGGGTGAATGTGTTATTTCTATATCTTTCACTATTTATGCTAAGTTAAGCAGGAGAGTTCTGCTGCTTTTAGCTTCCTATCCAATCTATAAACATGAGAGCACGATCAATTTTCGCATGTAACTCCTAGCAAGAAGGAAAAAAAAAAGTCAATTTCCCAATTTATTTTCATGAGTGCTTCACATTGTGCAATCATTTCCCATCTATACTCCATCTGACTTTATCTAGCTTGAGAAGTAATGTGAGTGTGTAGTACAATCACATGGGCTGAGAGGAGAGCAGTGGGGGGTAACCGTGCTTGAGGGCCATCATATGACAGAATAAGAGAGATTGAGATTGGGATATGTTATTTTCTGACACAGTCTGCACCGAGACATGTTTTATCCCTGAAAGACCACCAAGCAAGCTGTAAGGAGATCGGTGAAACAGAGCGGACCAACTGTCGACCAGGATCACGGTCACGCATGACAGTTTTTCACCGCCACCTCGATTCCTTCCTCTGTACTCCTCCTCCTCTGTCCGTCCACCCGTCTCTCGTCTTCCTCACCCTCCACTGGTCACAATCATAGCACAAAGGAGATTATTTTCCAAAACACCGTCACCCTTCCCTTGTGTGGAAAAATGTAGACCTCACAAGCTCAGGTGATTTCTGTAAGACAAGCAGAGCTTTCCATCGCTTTAAAGAAACGTGAAGGCACAACACTGAAACTTTCAAGAAGAATAACGTGTTCTGGTATTCATGTAAATACCTCAGCCATTACTGTCACCCTATAGGTAGCAGAATGAGGCAGACTGTGATAGCCCACCCTGCAAAGGCTTTGAATGCTAGAGCATCACAAAAATGTCAAAAAAAAGAGAAAAACTATTTTGCATTTAGAAAAGAAATCTGAAAAATGTCATGTGTGTTCAGCCTCCTTGAATCAATTCTTTGTGGAAGCAACTTTTGATTAAATTAATGCAATTGCCTTGACTTTCACTGGGCCATTCTCACAACATTAATTTGCTTTAAACTAAATCATTTCGCTGTGGCTCTTCATAGCTTGGATTTTGTTTTATAACCTTTATAACATCTCCTCCACTTCCTCTCTAACATGTCTGCTGTGCTCATTGGTCCTCATATTGGTCTTCGTTCACCAATGTTTTAAAAAACCTCTGAGACATTTTCAAAAGCAGTTTTATTTCACAAAGTTGAGCTATTATTAGGTGACTCCCAAAAACACGTGACTGCAAACCACTCAAAATTTAAAACCATATATAAGTCCTTCCCAATTTGCAATTTTGCAGTGAGAGTTATGAGTACAACTTACTAGTCTCCTATTAAACAGGATTTCTTCATTAACAAATCCCTTTTAAAATCCAGTACTCAACAATAAGAGTAGCATCCTATCTTCATATGTGAAACATCAGTTGATCTGATTTTCTTATCGTTGTCAGTCACAGGCACGAAGCAGAGACAGAGTGATAAAACTAACAGCACAGATAGTCAAAACACTCCTGATATCTGACAAACGCTCATCATAGGCATTTTATCGCTGTGCCTTGAAATGCTGTGTATTTCCAAGAGCCTTGTTGTCATGGTTCCCCATATAGGTTGATTTTAACGTTATCAACTGTGGCAAGATGAAGCTTACATGGTTTAAATCCCACATGACTTGAGATGAATTAGCAATGAGCATTGAGTTTATAGATGTGGCGTCTGGGGTTTGCTTGGCACACAGAGTGAATGAACCGCAGTGTGAACCCTGAGTTAAGGAGGTCATCCTCATAGTGGCTGCGTTACAGCTACTGAAATGCAGTGCGTCTGAATGCGACACTGCAGGAAGTCCATTCAAGGTTAAGAGCCCACTGCAACAGTACGGTGTAATGCATATTTAAATCAGACTGGAGATGCGCTCTACAGATCTGGAGGGAACCAGGAATGGTGTTTATTATTTATCACCTAGCATCAGATATGATTATTATACTAGATGAGAGGTTGTATGCAGGGGACTTGGTTGCTGAAATGTGGGTCAGGCATAATGGCATCAATTATTCATATCAGAGGTGAACTGAAAAGTAGGGAATTTACTGTACGTACAGTATGATGCAAATATGCAGATGGGTCCCAAATAGCTGTCATTTACCTTCTTAATTTATAGCTTTCACTTCATCGGGTCTCAAACCAGCATATGGGCCCATAATATCTGCGTCTGTTCATATGATAGGCTGATTACAGCAACACAACCGTGCAGCTATTTCACAAAACACCAACCATTCAGAATCAGGTGCAATTATATGCATGAAAAAAGCGGGTGACTAGGGACCATATTGCAAAAGACTAGAGCACAAGCTGTTTGCAGGCAGTAGGTATAAGAGGCATAACTACACATGGGAAAGCTGGCACGCTACCATTGGGGCCAGATGGAAGAAGTAAAGGAGGGGAGGGTTGCAAGAGAGGAAGAGTGTGTTGGAGGAAAATAGAGGGATAAAAATAGATGCACAGGCAGGAATGGACATAAGCAGGTAAGACAAGTTATTTGGAAGAAAATATAAATCGGACCGCTTTAACAGCAGATACCACCAGGATAAACACTATTTATCTCTCGCTTTCAGAAATCCTGCTACATGAAGCAAGGGTACAACAAGCTTTCAGTCCTAAAATGGGTGATTATACACTAAATAAGGAGTCTATGATTGAGACTCACGAAACACAAAAAATGAAACCTTCTTAGAGTTTTTTGGCATTAGGACCACCTTAGAATTAGATGGGTATAAAAACTGCTGTAAATTATTCTTGGCTTTATTCTGCAATCATCAACAAGACTGAGGATCGACACTGTCTTCATCAGAGTCACAAGTGAACACTTCAACAGGGCGAGTGATTACAGACAACAGGATACAGGTGTGCATTATTCATTGGAAGTCTAGAACAAGTAATGTTAGAAGCTTATTGGTCAAATAAAGGTGGAACATACCTGTTGAAACATTAGGTTAATAGATTTTGCACATTAGAGCTAATAATGTCATGACCCGTGTTTCTGCTTATTTATTTTAAGGGTTTTCTGTGTTCAGTTTCTGTCCTGTGAGTTTTCGTTGTTTCTGCGTCTTCCCCATTGATTGATCCCAGCTGTGTCTCGTTCCTGTGATTTCCCTCCCAGTTTATTTAGTCCCACCTGTTGTCTGTGTTCCTCGTCTAATGTCGTATATCAGTTGTTGTGTGTGTATCGGCTCCCTGCCGACACACACACTGCCGTGCTGCCTGTATTGGACTGTTTGAGCTCTCTTTATTAAATCATCTTCATCATCATCACTATAACCTGGGTCTCAGCGTTAATCCTCACCACCTCACAATCACCGCTTCATGACAAATAACTGATTAGTGAGATCCAACAATTTATTCCTGTTGCAGCTGATTTGGCGCTGGTTTGTTCGAAATGCAAAGAAAGTCTTGGATTTATTTTCAAATCTGTCTCTGAAAATCCCAGAATGGCAACACTCTGTTTTCCTGAATTTGCTGCTAAAACCTTTGCCTTGTTATTGTCTCATGGCCATCAATGCCTCTCTTAATGCATCTGATTTGAATCCTGCAGCACAGTGGAAAATGTCAGAATTGTCAAGGGAATAATGACCGGATGGGAAGCGTCTGTTGGTTTATGCGTGTTCTGTGTTCACGAGGCCCATTAGCATGCAGAACCAGTCGGTTTTGAAGGAGTAGAATCAAACTCATTCATCGTCAAAAAGCCAGTTGAGCAGCGGCCCCTTTTTATGACTTCATCTGTTTAATGTTTTTTCCCACCACAGACCTTCTCATGCTGTTTGTTCAGAAAGTATAATCTGGTTCTGTGTCATAAGTACAGCCACAAAATTATAGCTGCAGCGGCCATCAGACTTTCCCCAGCACTGTACCCAACCCCAGGCTTTGGGCAAACAACACTTTCCATCCATTCATCTTTCCAACAACACTGCCGCTGCAGGCAGCTGCATTTACACACTGTAAAATTAGACAAATTGACAGAGGAATGGCAAGTTTTACAAAAAAAAAAAGTGGAATTTGACCAAGTCCAGAGGTCTGGTGTAAGTGAAACTGATGGTTTAGAGTAAAGCACAGATATTCATGAGCCTCAGTTGTTTCAATGCAGAAAAAAGATCCCATGTACCAGAAGGATTATGAGTGAATGTTTGTTCAGGTGGAAAGAGGAGCAAGAAATTATCCAAAACATTGTTGATTAATCAGTTTGTTTGAACTGGTGTTAAAGCTGGGACATACGCCTGCTATTACTTCAATAAAGTTTTAAACTCTACTGTGAAAATCATGTTGCATTAAAAAACAATGCATGATGGCTAAATGTTTCAGATTTATTTGGTGGAAAATAGCTGAACTTTTACATGAGGAAAAACATTTAAACTTTTTTTTTTTTTTTTTTTTTTGGGAGGGGCAGAAAAACACTCCAATCACAACATACAACATGTGAATAATTCCTTGTAAAGCTTCACAAAAAGATGCACTTTATAAAAGGTTCAGGCCTGAACAGCAGCCTGTTAGCAAGACAAAAGTATGAGGGGCCAATGGAGTGGAAACGAAAGGAGCTCTTCCGATCATTCCTGTTTAGGGAACATCGTTTTGTCACTACAGTTGGCAACCAGTAAGCAACATGTGTGTTAACCACAGGCGATGGCTGAGTAATTAGCCAGCTTATATCAGGTTGTTATATTCCCAATATTAAGCTATAATAAGCAGAATGGAAAAATGCATAATATTCTGTACAATAAGCATTTTTGGATAAAAATTACTACTTGTACAGGAAATATTGATAAAACACTAATAATTAGACATGCAACAATCGTGCTTTTCTTGTGATTTCACCTCTCTTTACTTACTTGGTGTTGGTAGTCACCTGTCGACAGGCACCTTCTGACACCCAACCACAGTATGGGTCCCTGGAGGCTATGCAGGATCTGAAGGACAGTCATTATTAACATCACATATTTTACAAACTGGAATTTAAAAAAAAAAAAAAAAAAAAAAAAAAAAAATTGTTCAACAAACGGATATAAAGGCTGGAATTCCCACATACTTCTTGCATCTTCCATGCCTTTCACAGCGAGACAGCGGCACTTTGACCACACAGGAGGTGAAAGCCACCCACAGAGCGTTACTCTTGCTGTCTATCTGCATCCCGATGATGCGCTTGTCTTCCACGCCATCTATACTGCACCTAGAAAAGCCAAAAGAGAGGGTCAAATGTTTGATTTATATTTTAATGCAATGAAAAAGACCAAAGAGAGGTCAGGACAACACAATAAGATTAAGAGGGGATTTAAGAGTTAGTTTCAAGAACAAAGTACGCAGATTAAGATGCAGCAGACAGATGAACTGTGGGCTCAGCAAGAAAACGGATAATGCTAGCCGAGTGTACACGAGGTCAGGAGCAGAGTGGGAGATAAAGAGAGATAAGAAAAAAGGGTGATACGGATACAACAGATAAACAGACAGATGGGCGCTGTGAGCAGTCAGCAGCACTTAAGTGTAAAATCCACCAACAGTAACTCAAGCCCATCCATCCCTTCCGCACGCGACCACTCCTCCACCCCCGTTAGCCGACTTTGTCTCCACTGCCCTGCAGGAGCACGCTCTAATCCCTCTGGGGTGTGTCGAGCATCCTTCTATCCTGTCTTTCCCTCCGTCCTGGCATCCCGCTTCTGGGATTTAATCTCCTGTTCACAGAGCTCTGGTCCTGCATTATCGCTCGCAATTAGGGCTTAGAGTCCATCTACACTGGGTAATGCACAACAATCGGGCCTGCGTTGATCTAGCTGGCCAGGCAGGGAGGCAAAGTCACTTACTGTACACGACTGAAGCCAGATGGCCAGCAGCCGGCGAATGCTCTGCTGCAGCCAGCAGGAGAGAGGGGGGAGAAGGAAGGGAGCTAGAGGGAGAGGAAGAGACACGGAAACGAGGAAGGACCTTCATCTCCTTCACATGGTCTCTGAATGCAAAAGTGTTGACCTTTTTTCAACACTAACCTTTGTAACAAAATCAAAGTCTAGTGTTTTTAATTGGGACTTGTGGAGTGAAAGGTGGAAAGTGTTTTAAAAATTTGGATTTACCCCTTTTCCAGATTACTTCATTTGAAGTTCCACATAGCGCTCTAACTAAACCCGCAAGTCTTCCAGATTTGCACCACCAGCTCAAACTCACTGAAAACAATTTACGTAAAAATTAATTCTCAAGATTCCTAATTGTTTTTAGTACGGACTTTGACTGTCTCATTCTGGGCCAAAAGTTTTATTTTATTCTCCTTTGACCAAACTGTGAATTGCATTTCTTATGACTTTCTTCATGTGACTTTAATAGTCATTCAGTCAAAAGATTCTCCCACCTCAGCTGTGGATCTTTCAGATGTTCAAATTCAAGTCAATTCAAAAACACTATTTTGATCCCAAAAGGAAACTGAACCAAGATGTTCAAAGCTTAGAATATTGTTTTCTAATTGACGATTGCTGCACTGACTTGTCTGCTCCTTAATCTTCATGACACTGTTTGCTGTACAAAATTCAGACAAATTTTTAACCTAAATGCACTGAAATAATTTCAAAATGCCTGGCATTTTCCATGAACATCTTGCAAAAGGAGTCTATCTTCATCAACCGTCTGTGCTGACATAGAAAATTTGTAATATTTTAAAATCGCAGTCGGGGTTCAGAAAAAAAATCTTTCCAACGGCCGCAAACAGCCCCACGGCCACACTTTGGTACTTATTATGCTCTAACCCTTCAGTTTCTCGTCTTTGGTTTTCATGACTGTTTTCTCTCTCCTGTGTCCGTACTGCCACCCCCCCTCTCATTCATTACCTCTCAACCAAATATTTGCTCTGGCAGGACTGCACTGCATCAGATTTTATTTTTTTTTTTTTTCTATTGCACGACAGCTCTCTGTTCACCGTTCTCAGCAAAGTTTGGGGTTAGAAAGGCTCATCTATACAGCACAATCCTACAAAGATGTGATAAATTAGCGGGACATCCGATGCTGGCTCTGAAGACAAACGCGGCCCTCTGCCTGAGCATGTACGTGTGTGTTTCCTTTAATCAGCCGGCATTTTGGAAAGAACTCGGCTCCAATGCGGTTGGGAACCGCACTCCAATGCTATCCAGAGCTTTAGTGTCTGTGTCTTTAATTTAGAAGCTGTGGTTAGGCAAAGTGTAACTTGATAAAACTCCTTTAAATGATAGAGTAGCCATCTGGGTGACTGGCTTCACTTCAGAGCTTGGGTCGGGGGAACCGGCGGGTAGCGGTGGAGCTAGTGGGTTGGCTGACTTGATCGATGGTAGAACAGCAGAATGAAACACTTCTGAATCACTTAACACACACATACAGAGATTAGGGAGAAAAAAAAACTGGCCCTCTTTTGTTTGTGGCAACTGTATCCATGTGTTCCCTCTATTGGACACACATGCTCACAAAGCTACGTACTTGTCCGGATTGTAGACGTTGAGCTCCTCGAGGAACAGGCTGTCGTTCAGGAAGCCTTTGTTCATTTTGGCCAGAAATTTCAGGATGATGCCCTTCTCGGATCCCAGGAACACGACCGTGTGGTTCCTGTGGGGGCCCGCCTCGTTGTCCACCACGATCCGCGTCAGGCGATACCTGGAAGAAGGATTACCGGGTAAAGTAAATCAACCAATCAGTTGATTAGTGCAATTTGCAAACACACATAACGATGTTTGAAAGAGCAATAAATGTTGACGCACATCAAGTAAATGTTTTGAGGTGAAGTCCAGATAATAACTGCAGAGCCAATCAGTTAATCACTTAATGGGCTTTTCATTGTGTATATCAAGTGTCTAAAAAAGACAACAGAGCAGGAGGGGGCTGTTATCTTGTTAATTAAATGTTATTTTATATTCATCAGACTGTCATAATGCCTGTAGGGGGTTAAAGGGAGAACAAAAACATGACATCAAAGTGTCTCAAGCACCCGGAAACAAGCACACATTTATGTTCTAATTGCTGAAGTTGAGACTATTTGACTCTGAACCTCGTCCATTTAATCTGTTAGAGCAACAACAGTACAGATTAGCTCCTGCAAAAATACCTTTTCTTTTTATGAGTCAAATCTCTGTTTTTAAGTTCAGGGACAAATAAATATTCTCCTCAACAAAAAGGAGAATAATTGCACATTGGTTTATGTATTTTAATATATAATGTGGAGAATATATGTTCTCCACATTGGAGATTGCATCTATTGGATCGGATTTGTTATGGCAACAGGGGCTGTTTTCAAAGGTTATGCAATAAATGTGGTTTTTGTTGCACTTCATTGTTTCTGGTATATATGGCAATATATATGATTTATTTTTCAGAATAATAATTGTATTGTACTTACAATTATACCAAATGTGGTGATAACTCCGAAACAAAATATGAAAAATGTCTGTTTTTCTGCTTCAGTGTACCATGGCGTTTCCCTGGTGGTAGCAGTGGGATTTCAACCCATTCCCTGTATTACAGTACCATTCCTAGATGGTAACAAGGTTCACCAAAAACAGCCCAGATAGCTCAAAGTTGTTTTAATGAGATGTCAGTGAAGGTTCTGGAATGACTGAACATTTTTCTTCATGTATAGGGCATACAGGAAGCACAGCACTGCCCCTCACAAAACTGTTGTTGTACACATTTGTCAGCTGCCAGAAATAGCACTACTATTTCTATAAGGGGAAAAAAGAAATATGAATTTAGATTTTCTGGCTGCTAAAAGCAACCACAGTATTGCTTTAGTATTGCAGTGTTAGACGGACATCTCTTGAATGAGTTTGTGAAAACTACTACAAAATGTATGTATAAAATATAAAAAAAATAAAGTGTTTATTATTACCAGATTATTTTCATAACTCTACTACTTAAGTAGTATAAGTACAAGGTTTATATGTTAAATTTGATATTAGAAAAAGAAGCTGCCTGATTGATCCTGAAGTAAAATAATTTGTTATACACTGTCTTAAATATTTCTGTAAATACAATGATATTGTGAAAGTGGGGTATTTTTACTCAAAAATGACTCAATCCACATCTAGTAGAAATAAAAATTCTAAATTTTCTCACCTTTACTTTGATGTTGATACCTGGCTTGTTTTACTTTGCATTCTTTTGCATATCTGCTGGAACTCCTGCACCATGCACCTATAAATTTATTACCACGGCTTTATATAATTTGATAACCAGGCTGCTTTCATTTTTGACGGGTTGTTGAAAGATTTTACTGCAACTTAAAGCCATTAAAATTGCATATATAACCAAGACGTGCTTGTCAAATATTACAGCGATGATTCAATAATAACTTCAATTATGTACCGTCATGCAAATTCTCTGTTTATACTGAGGAAGATTCACTCGCATCGAGATGTCGAAAGCTTGAAACTGAAAGAAAAGCTGACTGTATGACATAAATTTGACTGGCAATTATCATGGTAATGCATGTCATCCTGATGCAGTTGATCACAACTTTATTCCCGACACACATGTTCTATACAACTCTGCAATTGACACATATATTTCAGAGGCGTTAAAGTACTGGATGTTCCACTAATTCCAGGTTATTTTCTTATATTTATGTCTTGCATGCCACACATTTCAGACATGTGGAACATGTTTTTTTTTTTTGTTTTTTTTTTAATATAGCAAGACTTATTGTAAAGCACATGGAGTTTATCTGCTGAGATTGGGGCTTTTCAATTTAATTAAATCTATTTCAATCAGAAGGAACTGACACAGCTGAGTGTTGGTTTACACCCCAGCCTGATTAAAGTGTCAAGATATAAGATATGGAGGAAGCTTTGTGATTTAGCTTTACTGTATTTCGGGCCTCTTTGTGGCATCTTGTATCCATACAGCCTGAGGTTGTTCCGTTTGTTCTCTAAAGTTAAGGGGTTGTTGCTAACTGGATTGGAGAATGTTTCGAGATGGACGCTTCAAAAACACAGATTAAGGCTTTAGGGGTTAATAGAACTAGATTGGATTTAAAGATTACCGATGAAAGCTTATCCGGAAATCTAGGAAGTCCACAATTGCCGTCATTAATGTTGACTGAGTGTTCCTTGTGTAAAATCAGTTTAAAAGTGATGCACAAATGTTCCTCTAAAGATATAATTTACTTGAAAAAGCACTAACCTACTCCTGCTTGCTTAAAGTTTCCCCTAAAATGGTCAGTGCCAATTCACAAAGCCAAAAATATGAAGTTATTAGGTTTTGATTCATTCAGTCTTAACAGGAGCTCCAAAGGGTATGAAATTAGGGTTTTAACTCACTAAAATAATACAATCTCAGTGAATAAGGCAAGGTCTGTCTTTCCTATTTTGATCCAGATAACAAAAATCACAGCGAGTGTAATTGTTCAGCATGTGTCTCCTTCTTTGAAGTGATTGACTGCGTCCAACTAGCTGAGCTCCCTGCCAAAACGCTGCAAATCTCGAGATAAAACAAAAAAAAAAGCGTCTTCATATTGAGCAGAAAGCCTATACTTGATATTCGGGTGTCCTCTCTGGGGTGTGACAAGGATCAAATCCTATTACTGATTTCATTTCCAGTTGACTTCAGCTCAAAATAGTAATCCACAATAAAACCCCAACAGGGGTTTTTATATCCACTCCACATGCCTTTGTGATACTTTTCAAGCTTAAATAATTCTTTCAGCAATTGGCCCGCATGTTAATCGACATGTTCTGCTGATTGGGGTGATATTTCAAATCAGAAACACTAATGAGCTCTTTCATGCTAAACTGTTTATATTGTAACAGAGACAACACAGCAACTCGGGTCTGATATGCCAAAATAAAAGCTTTTATCAAGGAATATTGATAAAATATTCCTTGCCCGCCACTGAGGCATGTCATGGATGTGCCCAGAACTGCTAACTCCAGAGCAGCTTTAGGTAAGAAGAAGAAATGTGAGGATATAATTATTTTCATTAGGAATATGTTGAAGTGCTGGAGTTCAGCTTAAAAGAGTAAGGATTTTTCCACCTAACCAGTTCCAGACCTAAACGGAGGTCAGTGCACCACTAAAGCGCCGCTGCTTGCATTGAAAATCCAGTGCTATCTTGGCACCATCTCTTAGCTGGACCTGAAGAAAAATCTGCCTTTATTGGGGCTGGAGACCAACAGTCTGCATGAGTTTTAAACATTACATTACATGTGAGGTAGTTTTTTTTTTTTATTTAGACCAGAACAATAAAAAAATACGGCAATTCTGTTCATTATCTGTCATCTTTATGGGTTTTTAGGTGGTTTTGAATAGTCTGGAATATCATTTAAACATTTTCCAGGTCTGGATGAGTATGTATGTGACAAGCCTGAAAGGAATATTTAGTTTCCAGGACAGACCTGTTTAAAAGGTCTGTCCATTCATACAATATGAGCTGTTTAAATGTTTCCTTATCATCTAGTTAGTGTACCAGATGGACTTTTAACTGATTTTATAAATGCTGTTTGCAGCTCTTCAGGCTTATAACAATTAAAGATCTAAAATGCTGGTCTTTGTTGCCAAACAACGATAATCAGACTGTCACTTAAAACAGCCATTATATGTTAGACTGATAACATAAAGATGTCGGTTTGCTGGGATGACGAGAAAAGAAACTGTCTCCCTGCAGTGCAGTCATCTACAGAGATACAAAAAAAACAAGTCAGTCATTCACAGGAAGTGGTGATATAACTTTGTCTTCTAAGAACAAATCAGTTCTTAAGTATTGATCTAAAGATTCAGTTGGATGTAAACCACTTGAAACGTGTGTTTGATAAAATCTTTTGTGCATAGCTTAAAAAAAATCAAATAAACCTTTAAGATCAAACAACAAGCATCATGGTGCAGTAGGTTTTAGGAAACCTTCAGGGCACAGGGGGAAAAGCCACATTAACTAAAAAGAAGTCTGCTCTCCAGTGTACTGTCTGGGGAAGCTTCAAGTCAAGAGAGGGAAAAAAATGTCTTTAATAAGACCTTATAGATGTTTTCAATGAGCTAAGGATCAAGATAAACACCAGTGAGTATCTTAAATACTCACTCCAAAGATTACTACTCTGTTGTGTAGGGGGAAAAAGATAGCAAGGTCTGAATTAGCGTTTCCTCCACTCCAAGAAAAATAGGTCAGTTGCGGGTTTGTGATGGAGCACTACTGTCTTTTAATGAGTCTAACTCTCTGAGCAGCACTTCAGATAATTGCCAGCCTGGGCTGAAGAGGCTCACGGACCTCTGACGACGGCGGGCTTTTTGGAGTGCAAGGTACTCACCGCACCATGGTCTTGAGAAACCAGGGCCTGTGGGCGATAGAGGGCACAGCCTCGTCCATCAGGGGATGCATCTTGATGAAGTTCAGAGTGTCGTCAGGGAACTCATTGGATACCTTGTACCTCTCCATGGATGGAGTGCCGGCACAGCTGCCAGGTCTGCAAATGCAGTGGAGGGAGAGGACGATAACAAAATGTGAGAAACGGGGAAAGAAAAGTGTCATAAGGAGGAAACGTTTAAATGGAAAAAAACTGTTTAAAACGAGAAGCCGCCAGAAGACAGAAAGTCTAATTCCCTTAAAATCAATAAGACTGAAGTCATAAATGGCTAAACACTTATTCCTAGAGCCTTCGGTCAAACAGGAGGACACATGATGTCTTCTTTTCTGAGTTTGGGGTAATGCACTGAGACATTCTATCAGTGTGATCCGTTTACAGGAGCTGGTAAAAAAGAAGCTGCTTTTGATAGCATATCCTCTTTGCAGGCATGTCGCCTCGGAGAGCTTGTAAAACCTCTTTACAGTGCGCTCTTTGATACCCTTTCACAGCACATAACACACACCAGGTCCCTGAAATGTCAGACAGCTGGCCTTGCACTGTAGATACGTAAAAGACCAAGCCTTAAAATACACATTTGAGCGTCGTCCAGAGAAATAGCTTTAAGATGCGCATATGTGGTGCTGCTGGTAGAGACATTTCAGTCAGATTTGCTCCGTTTTCCCACTTTTTCTTTCCCGTTTGAGAACTGGAAGTAATTTTACGAAAGCATATGTGGTTTGACTCGGATGGTGAGGCCTCCTCCCAACATCCCGGGACGACCCTTCAAATGGGTTCACAAAACTGTGGCTAAATCTGAAAGTTTTTAAATACAAACGAGATCCTGCAGAATGTGAGAGAGCTGCGGATAAACCAAGAACTGTTAATGTTAGTGAATTGGCTGATTTTCAGCTTTGTGGTCCTGACCAATCTGAAGGATTTTTCAACCTCATTAGGCAGTCAAGAGGAAGCTCTAAAGGCGAAAGGATCTATGTAAAATATCTTTTTGCTATGGAGGTATATCACCTCTTCAGGCTGAAACAGGACCTGTAGCAAGATGTAAAAAGGCTAAATTTGCTTTGTTTTATCCTGTTGAGCTTTCAAACTTTGCCTATCATGGTGAACATCCTGAATGATTTGTAAATATCAGATTATCTGGTAAGAATCAACATTCCTTGAAGTCAAGATGTTAAAGGCAAGTGGAAATGTGCAGTCTTTTTTTTTAATTAATCTATTTTTAAATGATAAAATCTGCCTGATTAGCAACTTCTTTACAATGTAAAAATACTTTGAATTCCTACATAAACATCAGCAGATTAAAGCTTTTCAAGAACCAAATGTGGGAAACTGGCTACAAAACTTTGATCATTGACTTCCTGCTAAAAGAAAACACATTTAACTGTAAAATCCTGAGCCTAAAGTGGATTCCCAAATCTATGAGGCCGCTGAAATAAGCTACAGAATAATATCTGCTGTTAGTTTGCAGGGTATGCACACACACACATGCACGCATATGGACGGCAGAACCGAAACAGACATGTATTAAATATGAAAATCTGTAAATGATTGGGTTTGGGAGTCTAGCACATGGAGGAACAGACTGCCACAGGACCGGACCTTGGTGGCATTGTTGCAGCTCTCCATCTGCTTGCCTGTAGATAAAAAGGGTCTGAATGCGGCAGAGAGCAGAAATTTAATCAATCCCATCAATTACTGCAGTAAGCAAATGTGAGCATATCTGCTTCTAGAAATGTCTGACCTCACTCAGGGTAAACAAGTCGTTATATACACTAATCAAGGTAAAAAGGGTGAACTCACTCATGTACATTCATTTATGCATTAAATTAGCAATGTAGAGCTTGTGTTTTGTAGAAGAATCAAATCCCCTGGCTTTAAGTGAGGACCTATACACCCACCAACAATTATCGTAGCCCAGATCTTTGTAGTGAATCTGTTTTTTTTTTCCTTCCCTCCAGGAAATAAGAAAAACTCTCAGTGCTCTAATTAACAAGAGATAGATGGGAGATTGATCAGGTCGGTACATTTGTGGAATTAGCCAGCCATATTTAAAATGATCTCATGCTTCATTTGCTGATGCTTATGAAACTGCGGGTGGGGAGCAGGGGAGCTAATGTGTGCAACTATGAAAAAAAGATTGTGTTTATGTGATTGAGAGCGGATGTATGCTCAGTATTTTGCAAAAGTTTTCAAATCTCTTGGACTTTTCATCAAATTACAAGGAGAAACATAAATTTTTATCAGGGTTTCATGTGGTGGATCAACATAAAATAGCACAAAAAAAGAAGGTAAACACAGACAGTTTTCAAGTAAAATAAAATTATTATTCTGCTGATGCCCCAAAATAAAGAACACTTCTGATCAGCCTGAACACACCTTCCATGATGAAAGATGGTGGTGGTAAAAAAATGCTTTTCTACTGCAGGGACAGGAAAAAAATATCATAGTAAGTGGCAAGATGGACAAAACCTAATTCTGGGGAAAACCTCAAAGACCTGAGACAAGATTGTTGTCCAGCAGGGCAGGACAACAAGCCTAAACATGGAGAGATTCTGTAGCAAGACCTGAAAAATTGATGTTGACACATGCTCTGCATCCAGCCTAACCCAGCTGGGTTGTTTTGTAAGGAAGGATGAGCAGAAAATGTCACTCTGGATGTGCAAAGCTGCTGGAGACATTCCTCAAAAGGTGTTTCTACGAAGACTCAGGGGGGCTGAATACACACGCACTCCACGGTTCTCAAACCTTTCTCAGAATTTTGAAAACCAGGAATCATTTTCCCTCCAGTTCACAATTATCAACTACTCCTTGTTGGTCTATCACATAAAAAGTATTCAAATAACCTGAACGTGAAATGGTTGAAGCATTGTGAATAGTTCTGCAAGGAATTGTAGATGATGTGCAGCAGATGTTCAAAAGAGATGATTAGAATAACAGAAGTGCAAGTAGGTGATTAGATAACAGTCATTTTCAGTTTTCTAAAGAAATGACTTGCGTGATTGAGAGCAGTTTTTGAGAGTAATGACAGAAAGACAGTCGATTCTGTATTTAATGCATTTGCCATGTGTGGGTGTGTGCGTGTGTGTGTGTTGCTTGTCTGTACCTTGGCTTGGGAACCCTCTCTTCAGGAAAAGGCGTCCAGGTGGAGTCTGGGGATTTCTGCTCTTTGAATCGCCCAGTGAAGGCGCGGGCCACCTCCGCCATGTCGTAGGCACACACTGCTGAACCTGGAATGCTGCCATAACACAAAAACACACACATTAAAGTAAGGAAACAATGCATAAACAAGCCACTGTCTGAACATTTCACAAGGAAACATCTTGCCAATTCTGGACTATCACTGAGAGACAGAGACATGGATTTACAATCCATTTACAGAGGCGTTTAAATCTCCTGCCTTGTTTTAAATTTCGAAGGAGAACTTGTTGCATTTCTAAAAGCAATCATTCTTCATAGCATTTCATACATAAAGTGGATATAAGAAGTCTACATCCCACTGTTTAGCACCAGTTTTGTGTCATTTGAAAACACTAGACCAATGTAAACGTTTTCAGATCCACCTTTAAACCTGCCCAACATTTCCCTGGAATCCTTTAGATGAGAACAAAAAAACACTTAAAAAATTAAATTACCAAAGTTAAACAAATGCAGGGTAGAAATATGATAAACCCCAAATGAAGTTTGGCTGATATTTTCTGACATCTTCTGGGTCACATCACACCTAAAACCATCAGAGACAGTCCATACCACAGGTCTCTATCAAAAGGCTCCAGTCAGGAGAAGGCTGCAAAACAATTTCCAATGAACCAAAACCAATTGGAGAAAATTATGGCTTCTGTAAATGTACATTTGGAGATTGAAAATCTGTGGTGTGAAAATGTTCTGAAATGGTTTATCTTGGTTTTTGCACCATAGAAACCTGATATTTTAACAAGTTTATTCAGGATTTTTAAAGTCTGCTGTAATAATTTTTTTTCTTTAATCGTTGGCCTACAGACTGGGTTTCCCCAAACTCCTTCCTTATGACATTGAAGTTCATTACAAATCCACTATTGAGCTCCATCCATGAACAACAAATAATTTTATTACTGCCTCTCTTTTTTTAAATGGGGAAAAGAATCGTCATCTTCAAATAGCGGCGCAGCAGCTGCCTTTGTGTGGAATCAATGCATAGCTGATCAGTGACTCATTTCTCTATTTCTTTATCCAACTGCATTCAAAAGTATAAGAAAAAAACTTGAGAGAATCCGTTTTTCCACCATTTTTCCTTGGTTGAATTTTCTCGGCGTTGCATCATGAGCTAAACTCGTCTCGTAGACATTGGGGAGACGAGAATACACAAGGGCAGCATTATAGAGAGCAAGGTCAGAAAGCTGTTAATTCTCTGCTCAGCTGCTAAATTACAGTAACTGCTGTCGCTATTGAATATGTGCAGAAAGCAGGACCATTATATTCATTTTTTTACCAGACAGCTGACGAGGAGGAGAGACTGAGAACGAGGTGGGCAGACAGACAAACTCGGAGTCTTGTCTGCACACTAATCTCACTCCCCAACTATGAAACAGAAAATGAATGCTGGAACCTTATAGAAATGTTTCAGAAGTGCCGCTTCATTGGGTTATAATGTTCATTAACCATGCTCAATTGCATTGTCACAAGTAATTGTCTTATCTGCTTAAAAAGCGGCCATAAAATAGAGAATTACAATATGTATGAGCTATCAGACGAGCTCTGTGCTTCTGTGGTAATTTTCAATTTAGATTAAAAACTCCCATGGCCCTCGAGAACAGTTAGAAACATGAAACAGAAACGGAAAATAAGATTTAAGGCCAGCAAGTCAAAAGGGCGGCGAGACTGTTTTGACAGGAGATGTAAATGTGTGCCCTGTAACGCTCAGAAAGTACGTGTCGCCGAGAGGCGCAGCAGCTCTACCGACGTTAATAAAGGTCAGGCTGTCAAAATGTTTTTAGAAAGTACTTCTAACTGAAAAAGATAACCAGGATAAGAGCTGGAACAATGAAAATCAGCTTCTGGCGTGTTCACACCGATCTGAGATGAGCCTCCTAGTTATTCAGGATACCTGTTGTAAGGCGTGGAGAAAGTGGCCATCACCACATCCCGCCCGTTGATGTGGATGACGTCCGTGACGGCCTGCAGGATGTTGAAGTAGAAGTGGGAATCCCCAGGGATGGAGCAGTTCAGGCGGGACTTTAGGAACGACGTCCACTGCTTCTCCAGGACGCGAGGAGAACCTCCGCGGTCATTCTTGCAAACCCTCGCCACCCGGGGAAACACCACCTGGTGGAGTCATACATTTAAAATCCTATGGCATCTTTGTCAGTCACATCTTAATTTCTAAGTGGTGTACATGGACACTTATAGGCATGTAAGAGTCATAATTAGCAGGTTTAAGTAAGAAGGAAACTGTGATTTGCACTGTTCATAACCAATTATGAACATTGATTATGAAGATAACCAATGTTACGGTTGGAACGGTTAGTAACAATAACCAATATTGGTTGTTATCCTATATTTGATTGAAGCACAATCCAATTCCTTCTACTTGTTCTCGTTCCACTAAGTGAGAAACTCGGTATTTTAGCATGAATAAAATAAGCATTATGTTTCCATAATACATAGTTGATTGAATTTTACAGGAAGAACCAGAAAAAAAATTTAAAATTTAAAAAATTATGCAGTGTTTGTGACACTTTGTCTTTTTTTTCTTGGTGAAACCTTTATAGCACACCCAGCTGAAGCTGCACATTGGATAACACTGGGAATAATTAGCTGTTCTTTTCAGCTCCTCTTTTGCAGTTTCACCATATAATTAGATTTTGAGAAAAAAAACATTGAGGATACTTGATCCCATGTCAGGTGAAGCTCGGGTCGATCCAAGCATTCATTAGAAAAGAGTGAGGTAGACTGGAAAGGATGGTTCCACAAATCAAAACCCTTTTACAGAAACTTCTGTCACAGATGAATAATTAGGTGCAGGATTAACTTGTACTGTATAGCCAAAAATATTCACTCAGCCCTCTATCATTTTACTCAGATGTTCTAACCACTCCCCTGGCTGCAGGTATGTGAAATCCAGCACTTTGGCATGCAAACTGCTTCTACAAACATTTGTGAATGGAGCTACTAATGCAACAGCAACGTACTAGATGATTTTATGTCTGACTTTATGGGCATTTCCCCAACAGTTCCAACAGGAACACCAGTGCACAAAGCAAAGTCCATGAGAATATGAGAACATAGGTGGAGAAACTTGACAAGCCTGCAGAGTCCTGACCTCAACCATGACAGCGCACTTTGAGATAAACTAGAGCAGAGACTCTGAGACCAGCCTTCTTGTCCACCATCAGTGTCAAAGCTGATGTTGGACAAGACATGTTGGACATGTCCTTTTCTGGAGGAACAATCAAACATCAGCATAAACTGACTTGTAAGTCCTATAAGCATCTTTCCTTGAAGAATTGAAGATGTTGTAACTGTTAAGGTGTTCCAATGACATATTAAAATTATTTGTATTAAAAATGGGATGTAATGAAACGTAACCTAAAACTATTAGCAGTATAGTGCTATAGTTACATGTTTCCTTATCTATTGTGGTCCTTAAATCAAAAAGAAATGGAAAATTTTAACTAGAAAGTATTTATCATTTTCAACAAGAGTATTTTAGAGATTCCTTCAGAAAAAACTGGCAAGAGGAGGAATATTGAACAAGGAAACAGCTTCGGCGTAATTAGTCAGTGAAATTCAAGAGGCCTTCCAAAGCATTATTGTTATTGACATGACAGACAGAATGGAAAATTCATTTAAGACACCGAGCATAAATATTTATTTTATACCGTATTTGGTGTTTCTGCCCCTTAAAGAACCCAATATACACCGTGATGAAAACTCTTCTAATGATAGCCACATCTTAGCCTGGTGTTTCATTGCAGTAAATTGGTGTGCCATATGTTTAGTTAGTCAGCACCTGGCAACAGAAAGTTTTAACCATACAGCATTAAATAGGAGCCAAAAACTGTAATTACAGCTGTACTGTTAGATTTGGTAGCCAGTGTTGTAATTAGCTGTTGTCACACTATAGTTAACAGCTATAACTCCAACCATGGCCCGAAATTGACAGTGTGAACGGGTGCAAACATGCATTTAAACCAGATCCTTAAACGCGCACACACACACACACACACACACACTCACGGCTATGCAAACACCAGAACCCTCCGTTCTCACATTGACCCACATACAGATATATGAATGAGAGATTTGGCCGTGCAGCGAGCCTCACCCAGGGCTGCTTCAGTGTGTGGCAACAGAAAATGCTGAACAGGTGAGAGTGTCAAGCTGAAGGTTGCATTATTCCAGATTTACATCCTAATTTGTTCACCCCAAGCCTATATCGATGTTAAGAAATATATTTCCTTTTGTTTTATTTTATTCCTCCACAGCAGATTTATCAGTTGTGCCACGTTGCACAAGCGATTCTTTACATTGTCAGAGAAGGCCATTCTGTTGGGAAATAATGGGGAGATATCATCCACTGAATGTTAAATTGCTCTCTGCTCCATCAGATCTCCCACCACTTGCATAATTACACTGACGCTGCTTTCAAAACACCCAGCAGATTGAGAGGCTCGATCTGTATTCATGCTCTATATAACACATGGCTGTCGTTTCTGGCACTGAATCCATTACTTCTGTGTTTTGCATCGCCTCAGATCTGCTCTCATACCGTTCTCTCTTATATTCCCTTTAATTTATTCAGCAAAGTACATGCTCGTCTTCACTTCTACCTGCTGCTTCGTTAAACTCTCTCATTGCTTGATCCAAAACTGAAATGAGATGATTAGAGAAGAAATTTCTCGTCCCGCTGGTGTAATACCCCAAGAAAAATCTCCTGCTGCTGTTTCTTCTTCACCAGCCTTTTCCTGTTCCCCTCCAAGTTTTTACTCTGCGGCGCTTGGGAGGAATTTCTCATGGGAAACATTGAGACAAGATGTCAAACAGGAGCACTGCAGAACAGATGCGGACGTGCAATAGGAGGGATATATTTAGCCTCCAAAATAGATCTTCCAGACATCGATAGATTTTGTTTTTTCTGGTTCTATTTTAAGTTCTGTATCCTGTCCGTTGTTTCTAAAATATGTTCTTGCCACTTAGCAACTCCTGAAAGCCTCCTTCCCAATATGTGATACACCCATATCCTGTTGGCCTCCCCAGGCGCTTCCTCATTCTCCCAGTAAATAGGAAGTCACCTCTGATTAGAGTTCAAACAATAACAGAAGAACTGGGCTTGTGCTTACCTTTCCCATTGTGTTGTACTCCATTGCAATTTCCCGAAAGAAGAAATAGATGAAGTCTCCGTAATTGACTGCCTGGACAAAGTACGGTTCTGCAGGGGAGCAAAAGAGGAAAAGAAAAGAAGTCAAAGTGATGTTTTGCCACGACAGAATAGTTCTGACACCATATTTCACAGCAAACAGAATATCTGTCGTATTATGCGGAGAAGCAGCGATCGTCGGTCTTGAGAGCCTCACTCTATTATCCTTTATGCGAGCAAAACAATTTGCATGTGAGAAAAGACTGCCTCCCTTTTGGGTTTTGACAGACTGGACTGGTGCTTGTTTCACCCTGGGGGCAGAACAATTTCAGTCGGAGCAGGATGGCAAAATGGATCAACTTCAAGCAGAATGAGGAGTATCTGCATAAGTGGTTCTGCACTGATCTAGTGTCAGACCTGCAGGAACAAGGTTCTGATGATACGATAAACCTGAGCAAAGATACAGCAGTTTCATGGCATGCATACGAATACTCAACACAGGTTATTGTTGAAAATGAGAATTTTGTTCTCAATCAGCTTACCTGTTTAAATGAATGTTAGATAATGAAGAAAAAAATATATATAAAAGACAGCCACATATTTTTTAACGTAAAAATAAAAGAAATCATCCCAATCATATCAATGGGATATACTGATATATGAAACCTGCTTATGCCAATTCTGCAGTTTCAACACACATGGTGATGCATCTTTGAAAACATTTTTTTTTTTTTTGCCAGCAACAAGTGAGTTCCCATGTCCTCAACTCACCTTTCAGCCACTTGGAGTCGTGTTTGACAGTGCGAAGAGTCGGGCTGTCGCCAAGACTACGATAGATGACCGCATCGATCGCTAGGAAGTCTGTTACGGTGGCTGAGTACAGCTTGCCGTCTGGACAGGGAATGCAGAGGTAGAAAGTGCAATGAGGAGGAAAGATGGAGAAGAATAAAGAGAGCAAGACACAGAGAGCCATAAAGAAGAGAGGAAATAAAAAAGCATTCAGTAACAAAGAGATTCCTGCCCTCTGCGGTTGGATACACCAACATATTTCAGAGGCCTGAGACCTGGAAAATGGACGAGTCACACAAACTGAAGGAATTCCTCAACAAAACAACAAACAAAACTTAAACATGTTGCACATCTACGAATAAAATACAGAATCCCCACACTCCCTTGTTTAAGCCACAGTCACACACTTTCATGGACACGCAAACACACACGACTGCCCAAACACAATGCGCCACCAGAATGACCTCAGCCTGGCTTGGTCCTTACCACAGTGGAAACTCAAACGACATAATTGAAAGGATAGCAGAGAGAGGAACCCTTATGATTACTCAGAGCTTCCAGCTCTTTCCCAAGTAGCTCTGCTACATATTAACTGCTCCGGCTTGGCATCTACCATGTGTGCGAAACCAGAAGGGACAGATCATCAATAGTGTCATAAATCGGATGATAATAAATATGAACGAGGGTTGGATGTCTTTTGCAGCATGTGGGTCACATTCCACCAACAAAGAGGGTTGACTCATTCTGGTTTCCTCCTTTCATAAATCACATTCATATTGAAAGAAACTAAACAAGAAACAAAAGGAATAACAGAAAAGTCAGAGGCAAATTATTATTTCAGTTACCATAGTACTACTGATGCATTTTCAAAGACCCTAATAGGAAACAAATTTCAGGCTCGGAGGAAAAACAGAGGAATGTTTGGCGTTTTTCCTCTGATGCATGTTACACACACTAACTTTGCTTTACAAGATGTTGTCAGAATGTTCCTTAAAACCGCAGCGTATGAAAGACAATATTAAATACAACGGGAAAAAATCCATCACTCAAATACTCTCAACTTTCTAATTTGACTCAAAATGGCTTAAGTAACTACATCTAGAACTTCACGTGACAAGATGATGCTGTAAAATTTTCACTAGCAGTGCGGACTCACAAGTACCTAGCTAGTCCCTGAACCCCCACAGTGCTAAAAAAATCATTTATATTCTTGTTTTATACCGAGTACCC